GAGGAAAACGACAAAGAGGGACAGAGGCAATGGGTGAGGAAAACGACAAAGAGGGACAGAGGCAATGGGTGAGGAAAACGACAAAGAGGGACAGAAAAGAATGGAAGAGTAAGAGTAGGGATAAAGTGCAATCGTCGAGGAAATACAGCGACAAGGCAGCCCTCAGCATAGGAATCGATCAACAACGTCAACGCCAACGTCAACGTCAGCCTCACTGATCTCATCTCCTCCTCGTCTGCAGTCCAGATTCCTCGGCATAGAAGTCGCTCGACACTATCGAAGTCAGCCTCGCTGATGGCATCCCTTCCTCGACTCTAGTCTATTAAGTAAAACCTATTTTTTTCTCGGCTCCAGCTACAGCCCATCCAAATTCTTCCGCTTCTCTCACACCCTACATCCCACACTGGTTCAGCTCTCTTCATGCTCTCTTTCTCCGTGCCAAGGTGCGACCCCCACGTGTATCCATCTTGATGCCGCCCCACCCACTCTCCATTTCAAAGTGGTCTGGCATCCACCAAGCGGCTTTTTGCGTGGAGCCCGATCCGCTCCGCCGGTTGGGATTATCTCTTCAATTTCTCCTCCTTTCCGTAATCTTACCATTGTGATCATACACAACATCACCTGCCACTGATCAGCGTTTGCCACCGACCCACTGCCCTGCTCATCATTATCATCATCATCATCACTGTCGTTGTCGTCATCATCATCATCATCAATCATTCTTGCATACCCACCCGCATCAGCAGCTGCACCTATTATCAGCAACAACGCCACCCGCGTAATCCCCATCATCATCATCATCATTTTGCAGCCGCCGTCTGCCCTAATCGTCATCCTCTGTTAAAATCGTCCTCACTCACCATCATGATCAGCATCGATCAGCATCAGCATCATCACCATCGATTATCATCATCATCATCATCATCATCATCATCATCATCATCATTACCGCCATTCATCATCATAATCGTAACCATCATTGTAATCATCATCATCATCATCATCATTCCCGCAATTCATCATCGACTATCCTGAACTGTGAAAACGTCACAAACTACAGTAAGAGGTCAGCTACTGAATCCGCGACCAAGACTCGCCCCGAGTTCCAGCCGCGGAGCGGAGCGGAGGGGAGCGGAGGGGAGCGGAGCGGAGCGGAGGGGAGCGGAGCGGAGCGGCCAGTAGCTCGACGCAGAATGACGCTCGCTGGATGCCGAAAACCGCTCTGAAGTGGAATGCGGGTAGGGCGGGCATTATGCTGGATATACACGTGGCGGTCCCACCTTGGAATAATGAGGCAACTTGACCGGCCGTACGTCGAATCCGACCGACCTTCTGTAGACGGCAGGCATGTCAAAACCCATCACAGGTTGTAATAGCCGCTGCACCGAACGGACTTCCGTTCCAACGTCAGGCGAAGGCCCGATAGGCTGCAAGAAAATTTGGGACCAAAGGGGCAAACGGACAGGCCTACGCACACACAGACGAATGGACCATCGGGGAAGGAAGAAGCAACGAACGGGGTAGGAGGACGGGATCACAGGGGGCATCAAAACCACCCCATCTTGAGGGGGGAGGAAGATGGCGAAAGAACTTAGAAGAAACAGTGAAACCGCAAGCACAAGTGCCCACGATCGATCGCGTATCATTTCTTTATATGGCGCTGATTCTGATTGACGTCATTTCGCTCTTTCCCTTCTGCTCCTTCTCCTGCTCTTCTCTCCCTCCCCCTTCCTGTGCCTGTTTTTTCTCACCATCTCTTCCTCGCCTTATTTTCTGCACTTTCTTCCTCCTCATTTGTCCCCCTCCTTCGCCTCCACTTGTTTCAACATCCCCACCTCCTGTTCCCCTCACTTCTCCCGACCTTCTCCCACTCTTCTTCTTCGATCTGCCTTCTTCTTCTTCTTCCCTCACTTCTTCTTCTTCTTCTTCTTCTTCTTCTTCTTCTTCTTCTCTCTCTCTCTCTCTCTCTCTCTCTCTCTCTCTCTCTCTCTCGGTGTGTGTATCTCTCGTGTTGGTCCTCTTCTCTCCTGGTTCACTCTTTATCTCCTCTTCCTTCTGATACAGCTCCTTTCCTCCGCCGGTAATGGCGCCAGCAAGGCACAAGAGAGCACATTCACAAAGGGCCCGCAAGTTGCGACAAGTGTGTGCAAGTGCAGATGACTCACCTGTTCGTATGTTAAATTGCACATTTCATTTAGTTCGTCTTGCATAGTTTGTTCTTCCTGAGCTTCTTCGATTCCAAGGATCGACTTCAGCTTAGCAAATCCCAACGCCATGGTGGCTGCTTCCTCTTCCCCTTTTTGCGGTCTTTACGACAGTAAACCAAACCAGCTCTTTTCGACGCTTCTTTCCCAGCTGCCTAGCCCCTTGCTCCACCTACGCCACCTGTATTTCTCCCGTTGAATCCCCCAATCGTCTGACCACTCTCAGCACCCCTTCAACACTCCGAGCAAAGTGGCGCCTTTCGTTCTTCCTTGAGCTACGTATCCCCGTGCCGAGAGCATCCAGTGCACGCCTACTTCGGTAGCTTACACGCGCGCCAACTGTGTAGCTTGCCGCTCGCGCAAATAGCGTACTGCAATTCGCCACTCGCGCCAAATTGACCAGTTGACGATTGCGAATTCCCTGGGCCAAATTTTCGTTCTTCTTGGCGAGGACTTCTAGGGGTGCTGGGGCAAGTTCCCACTTGCACGGATTAAGAGATTCTGGTCGTTGATCCCTGGTATCTACGGTCAATATCGCTTAATCCGTGTAAGTGGGACCTAGCCCCTGGTCCCAGAGCACCCCCAGTGACTTCTTGGGGCGGTAGTCCCTCCCAGTCCGCCAAGAGGATTTCCCTTTGGTTTTGTTTTTGGTTTGGTTTGGTTTTGTGTTTTTGGCCTTTGTTTTTTGTCTTATGAGAGATGACAGCAGCATCCACCGGCCTACCAGCCCAGTTGGTAAGGCGCGCAAGTGGCATTCGGGGAGGTGTTGGGTTCAATCCCTATCGGTCGCATGCATGTTCCTGGGCATAATTGTCGCCCGTCGCCTAGAGATGGGCCGTTGGTCCGGGCCCGGGCGGCTCCTGATGCTACCGGCTGATCCCTGGCTGGCGGTAGTATCTCCCACCTGCTGAAGTAGGTATAACACTTACTGGTGGATGTGGCTGCTACGGGGAACGCTATAATGATAATAAAAAGACCTGGAGGGCCGTCCTATCCAGATTTTTTTTATTTTATTTTTTTTACAAAAGATGTAATCCATTATTATCAATCAAACACGGAGGCCGGGAATCCCTCCACGGATTCCCCACAAACAACCCGAAAAAAAAACTGGGACCATTACCCAGCATTACCCAGTATGATGATAGGTGATGGGCCGAGATGTCCAGAGGTAGAAACTGGCCAAAACAAGACCTATACTCTGACTAAAGGCCCACCCCTCAAAAGGAAAGTATCCACAAGGCCGGAAAGCCGCACAAACCAGAAAAGGAATCAATCTACCATGCTATAAGGAAAAGAAAACATATCAACTGAAAATGAAAGACTACCCCTAAAGCTCCACCTAACAGCGGCGGAGGAAAACCCACAGGAAGAAGCAGGAGGGTCACAGTGTTCCTGAGTTGTTTGTTGGTCCATTCGATATCCTTAAACAGACGGTCGTTGCGACATTGCCAGATTACTGAGAAGATGATAGCCCGGCAGACTTGAGCAACATACCCCCACCCTGTATGTTTGACACAGTTCCCTGGGATCCCTCCCAATAATACCCATTCTTTGTTCCATGGAAAAAAGGGGCCTGAAAGGCGGTTCCATTGAACAATGAACCATTCCTACACCTTCTCTGAGGCAGGACAATCCCACCACAGATGAATGGTGGATTCGAAGGCCCAACTACATCGACAGCATTTGAGATCCACAGACAGGCCCCTTTGGGCTAACCACACCGCAGAGGGTGTAGAAACCAGAGATTCCAACCAGTGAATGGAAGCTTGTCTTTGACAAGGAATGAGTTTCAACTGCTCCCACCATGACAGGAGGGCCGAATCTAATTGAGCAAGGTTTACAGCTTGGTCCAAGCCTAATAACTGCATCCACCGCGCTCTGGCCGTGACCAACGGGCATTTCAAAGGCCTTGCGACAGAATAGCCCAATTTCAAAGAGTATTCTGTCAGATTGGGGTAGGAGTCCCCAAAGCCCAGGATCATCCACTCCCGTAGGTACGGATCAACTTTCAATTGCAAGATCGAACGGCCCTGACCAACCACCCGATACAGAGGTTCAGAGTCCCCCACCGTGGATAACAGAACCCGAATTTGAGAGAGTGCACAACCCAAGGGGGGAGCTGGGTTTTCATCCTCAGGGACCAAAGATTGAGAAGGTAGCACGGAATAAGCTTGAAACCTGCGTCTACCATCCGGCAGGTGTTCCATTAATTTCCAGACTGTGCTTGAAGAAGGTTCAGAAGAAAACCATGTGCCCGGGGGTCCAGAGAGACTGAGAACAGCAAATCCTTCCATTCTGCAGGGAGAGCAGCACGGAGCAATGCAAGCTTTTGTGTGAGATGTCTGACCTGTCCCAACACGGATCGAAGTTCCTCCTCATATTTCCACCCTCCCCTCAGCTCATTCCACAAGTCATCAATCTTTAAAATTCCTTTTTCAATCCACGAACGGCCAAAGCTTCCAGGTGCCGAGTCGGTAGGGAAGGGGTGACCACTAGTCTGCAATATCAATGGATTATCGAACAAGGGCTGAGCAAGAACTTCAGCTTTTGTGACTGGAGCTCTCCACTTCGTAGGACAGATTTTCTTCCATGAGCTGATCACTGCCTGCCAAAAGGGGGAACTAATTCTTCTATTCAAATAGGATCTGAGGAGGAGGCAAACCCACACATCCTTCGGTCTCTTCAAGTTCCATTCTTGCGATATAATTTGTTCGTCCAGGCCAACCCAATGGGATGAGTCATCAGATTGACTAGCTTTAATCACCCATTCGGAAAGCATGGCTGCGTTTTGCCTCTGCGGGTCTACCAAGCCCAAGCCCCCTTCGGATCTCGTTGAGCAAATCATATCCCAGGCCACTTTCGAAATAAAGGATTCCCCTTCCTCTGCAAAAGGCTTCCAAAGGAAGCGAGCACTCCTATGTCTAACAGAAGCACAAAGGGAAGACCCCAATCCCCTTACTTTACCTACAAACCACAATAGAGCAAAGAGAGCACAGTTAGTCACCATTGCTCTACCAAACAGAGAGAGGTGCGGCGCATGACCCCATGAAGAAATCCGTTGGTTAACCTTGTGCAACAAAATATCGTCTTGATCAACTGCCGCCGATGTCAGGGAAATCATCACCCCCAAAAAGCGCTCAGAACTATTCTCAGGAACACGTTTCATACCGCACTGTACAACCATGTCAAAGCAAGCATGAAGAAAGAAAATTGATTTATGCCAGTTAATGGTGGCCTCCGAAAGGGAAGCATAGTCATCCAAGCAAGATTTCAGAGCATTCAAAGATTGGGGAGAATTTTGCGACATTGCAAATAAGTCGTCTGCAAGGGCTTTCACTTTTAGGGGAGCCGTGAACGTAGGCAAGCCTCCAATGGAAGGGTGTGCCCGAATGTTATTCAACAGGTTTTCCATCTGCAACGCAAAGAGCAAAGGGGCCAGGGGGCAACCCTGACGTAGGGAACGAGTCAACGAGAACTCCTCAGAGAGATGTCCATTAATCATCACTGCGGCGGTAGAACTAGAGTACAGAGCCATGACCCATTTGCAAAAGTTCTGGCCAAAGGACATAACATTCAACGTTGTTAGGACGTATGACCAGTTCACTCTGTCATACGCCTTTTCCTATCCAGATTTGCACCTAAGGTGGGTAGTGGTCCCAGTATTTTCTTCTTTCTTTTCCAGGTTGTTTGTTGAGGATTCCCGGCCTCTCTTTTGGTGTGTGCAATCATACGAGCTGACTCCAATTATCAAATTGATTACAACTGAGTCTTTCTAATGACAAGCCAACACAAAATAGGCTGATAAAAAATCGCCATGCTTCCCACCCACACATGGAGGGTGGGTCTAACTATAAATCACCAGTACTTGGCCCAACTATCGGCCGCGGAAAAAAAAATAGAGTAGAAACGTTTCTAGTTGGATGAATTTTGGCGCTCCTGTAGTGGCCCGTACGTTTCCTAAAATTGCATAGCGTTAACGCTACGCGACTGTAGGAAGTACTGGTGGCTACCCCGAAGGCCAAAACAGTCCAGTAGTCTGGATCCAACCCAAAATCGTTTAAAGCAAATCTCTTGGGCCACGGTCCCACTAGCGGTTGGATAAGCTAAAAGGCTGCCCAGAACCCCATGTGCACCCAGTGTGTGAGCCTGGCGTGAGGTATTGAGGCTGTCCATGAAGATTGGATGAATGGTTGGATTACATTAGATGAATAAAGAGGTATAAGTGGTAAGTATGGCGCAGTCACCAGAACAGTTTGAAAATGCACTTCAAGCATTCCCCCGAATATAACGTTACCCCACGTAACTACACCTAACCCAAAACCAAGCTTGTATACATTCGACATTTTCAGACTTTTTTGCATGAAGTGCATTTCTCTTCTCTTCCCTTCTCTTCTCTTCTCTTACTTCTTTTAAGCTGCCAATACCTTTTTGGGGAAAAAAAACGACCTCTGAGCATGCCGGAAAGGGTTTTTTCCAAGCTCGGAGGAGGTCCGGGTAGGTACCGGTAATGGGCGGGGGGGGAGGTAGTAACACCAGCCCATCGTGAGGTCGGAGAGTTATTGTCTCTCTCTCTCTCACACACACACACACACACACACACACACACACACACACACACACACACACACACACACACA